CTTATATCATTTGTTGGTTTATATGGATGGCTAGGAATGATATTATTCATGATGGAAAGGTTATCCATAGCACTATGATTTTCTCTAATATTATTTCTTACATTAATAAGTTATGGAGATTGGGGAACCCTAAAAAATGTTTCTTTTCGGGCATCAATTATTTCCTTGATTTGGGGCAGACTAATGTGGGAGGGAGGAGGACACTACACCCTCCTATTTTAGTTTATTGGCTCCCTCTTCCCATAGGTTGGTTTAAATTTAATACTGATGGGAGTTGGAATGTGACTGGAGTTGGTTGCGCGGGCATTGTTAGAAATCATGTGGGTCATTGCATTCTCTTCTTCTCTTCCCCGTCTTATGCGGATTCTCCTTTAGAGGCGGAAGCTAGAGCTATCCTTACTGCTGCGGTTTTGGCTCAGTATTTCCGTTGGAAACACATCATTTTTTAATGTGATAACCGTACTTTATTTGATATTTTGGCTACTGGTGTTGTCGCCCCTTGGGATATCATTTATTATATCAGAAGGATTAAAATCTTACTTTCCAACGTGAATGTTATTTGGAGTTTCAATTATCGGGAAGGTAACCAACCCGCTAATTGGCTTGCTAAATTAGGAGTTTCTACTCTTACTTGTGGGTCATTGCATTCTCTTCATCTCTTCCCCGTCTTATGCGGATTCTCCTTTAGAGGCGGAAGCTAGAGCTATCCTTACTGCTGCGGTTTTGGCTCAGTATTTCCGTTGGAAACACATCATTTTTGAATGTGATAACCGTACTTTATTTGATATTTTGGCTACTGGTATTGTCGCCCCTTGGGATATCATTTATTATATCAGAAGGATTAAAATCTTACTTTCCAACGTGAATGTTATTTGGAGTTTCAATTATCGGGAAGGTAACCAACCCGCTAATTGGCTTGCTAAATTAGGAGTTTCTACTCTTACTTGTGGGTCATTGCATTCTCTTCATCTCTTCCCCGTCTTATGCGGATTCTCCTTTAGAGGCGGAAGCTAGAGCTATCCTTACTGCTGCGGTTTTGGCTCAGTATTTCCGTTGGAAACACATCATTTTTGAATGTGATAACCGTACTTTATTTGATATTTTGGCTACTGGTATTGTCGCCCCTTGGGATATCATTTATTATATCAGAAGGATTAAAATCTTACTTTCCAACGTGAATGTTATTTTGATACCCCTTATATTTGTAGAGTTGTCCCTGATTAAGTTTCTTGGGGTGGCTGCGGGGTTGTGCTCGGCCATGTCTATTCCCCATTTACTTCTGTTACTTATGTTACTTCTGTGCTGTTTGGTCTATTTCTGGCGAGCGGACGGCTTTCTCAACTTTCCTTCGAGCTGGGTTTGGATTAAGGGAAAACAGGGTTTCTTTGAAAACTTATTTCAGGTTCTTAAGGGAGGCCCATGGCTTCCTAGCTGGTTTTACTTCTGGAGATTGATTGGTAATGTTCTGCTTTGCAAGGAGGCCCATGGCTCCTTTATGGTATTTAAGGGATGCCCTTGGCTTCCTATCTGATTTTAATTTTGGAGATTGTTTGGTAAGTTGGCTTTAGGGATTCTGGATTTGGGGTGGCTTGGTCTCAATTTAACTGCTGGACTGTCGAGGTCCTTATTATGCCTCGGGATGTTTCTGATGGATGGTTGGACCTTTGGAGGAGCTCGGAACATATTGAATTTATTTTTCTGTTATGCTAACCACTGCTTGTTTATTTCAGTCCTTGGGTTTTTCCGACTTCATGTTCTCCTGTAGTTGCTCTCAAGATTACAAGATTACTCGATTTGCTGATTCGCTTATACATGTTTTCATTAAGGATACAAAAGTTTTTTGGGTATACGTTTTGGATAGATACATGTATTTTTCGGGATTTTCTCCTTTTGGTTTTGGTTGGAGTTGTAATGAGGAGAACGGAACCCCTAGGTTGTGTTCTGGAAGTCTTGAATTTTTACTTTTTTCTAGAGGGGATCTTGTTTTCTCCCAAAACATTTGTAACCGCTATTTTGATATTAACATGTAGGGAGCCACGAGTTGCTCTTTCTATAATATATATATATATATATATATATATATATATATATAAAAAAAAAAAACTATAAAAGGAAACATAGCTTCTTAGAAATTGTTGCAAAGCTCCTAATTTGGATTAATTCTTCTTCAAAACAATAAGAAAAGAATATGCATCATTACGAAGATTTTTTTATTCATTGGGAATATATTTTGCTATTTTTATGCTCTTTTTTGTAATTTTAATCCCAAAAGTACCGTCAGGATGAGAAATATTTTTAATGAAAGTCACATAACAACTACAAATAATTCCTCATTCAACAAATTCAAGGAGAATCTTTGGGCTTTATAAAGCATGTGGATCCTCTGAGAAGTTTATGAATGTCGTGATAGAATCAATAATTGCGTCGTAAATTTCAATTATGCCAAAGTTCACTCGCAAAACTTGTGACACTACCTTCACAATCATGCTCTCCTCAACCCATCAACATCATTCTAGGCATGAATGTTTATCAATAAATGGTTCGATCAATATGACTAGCCAGACTAAACAAGATTTAAAAGCCATGAGATTTGCATTGTGATGTTTTCTAACTTGATTTTTGAAATAAGGCAGATCAACATTTTTTTCTTAGTTCATAATGCAGACTTCATGAGCCTAGCAGCTCAAATGCATGTCAATATTTGATTTGATAATAACAAAGTTTGTATGTTAACATCTAATAGTCTTTACAAGTTTCTTCTTACAAGTGATCATTTGATAGACAAGTAGATTATTTCCACTAAATGCAGCTTAAAGAGGAGCTGAAGTGTACAAAACTTAGCATAACATAGCATAGTGTTCCTTTAGAATTTTTTGTATATGCACTGCGAATGATTTACTAAAGCAGTTCGATGCCTTTATTTATAACCCTACAAAATTTATTTTAAGTATTTATATTTATGTAAAATTAGATAATTACTGAGCAAAATATGTAAAATCATTCCATTGGCTTACTGAGGTTCATTTGAATTAATAGGACTTCATTCCATGGGTTTTCACGTACTTAATGCATACTACAGAAAAACCTTAATCTTACACGAGACCAATAAACAATATAATACTTAATTTTACATCTGATGTGGCTTGAGGAAGCCATTGAAAGCCATTATGACAAGGAGATTCCCCATCAAACACCAAATGTACAATTATGCATATGGATACATTATTGTACTAACTATCAATAAAATTTTCATCTTCAAATAAACTAATCATGCATTTGATCAACAATCGCGTATCTGATCGCTTAGTTTTGATATATTTTCTTGGGTCATGTTCCTAATCACCTCAAAAGGTTAGTGAGTTGATGGAGAGCATATCTTATAGACTCATAAATCTTCTGCATACATTTTAAATCATTTTGAGAATGTTTTGAGTAAAAAAAAGAAAATAACAAAGATCAAGTATTCATCATAAGAGCCTCAAGAATCTTATATAGCAGTCTTGCTCTTACACTCTTCCTAAGGATTTGTGAGTTGATGGAGAGCATATCTTACAGATTCATGAATCCTCTGCCTACATTTTAAATCATTTTGAGAATGTTTTGAGTGAAAAAAAAAATAACAAACATCAAGTATTCATCATAAAGCCTCAAGAATCTTATATAATAGTCTTGCTCTTACACTTCTCAAAAGATTTTTTTAATGTAGTTTTAATTATTTTATTAACAATCATTTTTTTAAAATTAAAGTATTATTTATTATGTGATTTTCTGTCAGTCTTCTAAAGTTCAAAAGAAATTCGATTTGAAAGTTTTCTCTTGCTTTAGAGAGTTACCAAGGTCCTTTAAAGATCAAGTATTTGGGAGTGTGAAGTGCAAGGATTCTCTGTTTGGGAGTAGAACTTGTGGTGTCAAACTTGGGCATCCAATCCTAGTTTAAAGAGGATGTTGAACTTGGGCATAGGCCGGTTGGTTAGTTGAACTAATTAAAAATTATTGTATAAATTACATCATACTTAGATTAATATACTTGTCCATTATAGTTTATGCCATTGGTTAATTAATCTTTAAATTGCTAAAGTGGCGCAAGATATACATGTTCCTATATTTTAGCATCAAGTAGATTTATGATGTTGTGCTTGCAAAATTGATACTCTCACTAGAGCACTATTTCATTGTCATCATAAATTATATATGTGTTATGACTTGAGTGTTTGGTTTTAATTAAAATAGTTTATGCAATTGAGTTTATCATTTCTATTGAGCTCAATAGTCAATTTACTCGCATGATATTATGTTTTAGTTTATATGTTAGTTGAACTAGTAGATTAAGTGTTTCAAGTATTAACTGTAGCTCTCATTAAATGTTTATTTGAGGTGCATGAATAGGTGAATTTTGAAACAGGTTCAAAATATATGCGCCTTTTCACGATTATTGATAAAACCTGATAGGATCTCCAAACACTATGCATGCAGTCTTTTCTATGACTTTATGGCCAAGGGAATTGCTAAGAAACTAGCTGATCTCTGTTAAAGTTAAGGCTCTTAAAAAAATAATCATAAATAATAAAAACAATAAAAAATAATAAAAGAAGGTGACTCGTATTTTATAAAATGTAAGCATTGTGTTCAACAAAGCGGCGCAAACATACAAATCAAATCTGAGAGCTGGTTGCCTTGCAAAATTCATGAACTATGTTGAAGACGAGAAAAATCAGGGATATCAAATGTGAGAGATGTTCTCTTGGTTGCTAACGGAAAGAGGCAAAAGAAGAGGGACAAAACAAAGATAATGGAATTGCTTGATGTTTAATGATGAGAGAAAATCTAAGCCATAAGGCACTTATTTCTGCACCTAGAAAATCTTTATTGTAAAATATATATCTCATTTAATGAAGCTCTAAATGCCCAGAAAAGACTAGCAGAAGTGCAGTATGTGTTTCCAGTAGCTAACAGAAGTGAGTTTTTCTTGAAAATGAAAGAATAAATTCACAAGCATGTACCTTTGCATTAGCAGCAGCAGCTTCAGTTTCATTCAAGCGTGTGAGAAGCTCTCCAGCAGCCAGTACAGCCTCAGCAGTATCCCTAAGTTGTGTCTGGAGACCTTTATTTTCATCCCTCCAATACATCCTCTCCTTTTGTCTCTCTTCCCTGAGAGCTTCAATTTGAGCAGACATAGATTCAACAAATTTTGAATCACGTCTTACACCTACACTTGCTGCTACTTTCTTCACGTTAAGAATTCCCTCCCTCATTTTCCGATGCCTTTGAAGCAAGGCCATGTGTTTCTCTTCAAGATCTGCATAGTGTTCCAAGGTCTTAGTATGAACCTGCAGTGCTGTCTGAAGTGCCTCCTTAAGTTCTTGCGAGCATTTCTTCTCAGATTCGAGATCCATTGTCAGCTTCTCAGCAAGAGACTGACAAGCTTCAAGTTCTATTTTTAGCTCTTTATATGAAGAGATCCATTTCTTCTCTAAGTCTGTCCAGTTCCTTCTCTTCAGTTCAATATTTTCATCAAAAGTTACATCTTTCGTATCTGATATCTTACTAAGAGGAGCCAACGCGGGCCCCATTGAGTGTGCCAACTCGAGCAAGGGATGGTTGGACGTGTAAGAAGAGTCGACGCAGCACTGTAAGTACTGCCTTAAATCTTGAATTTCCTCCAGCAATACGTCCTTCTCACCCATATCAAAGAAGTTTCGATAATCATCGAGCTCATTCTGAACCTTTTTTAGCTCAATATTTAGCTGCAATACTTCAGGATGATTCTCATATTTCTCTTTAAGTATCTAAGAAAGCAAAAAAACAGACAATCATTCAGAAAACTTAACGACCACTTTGAACAAAAAAAGAAAAAAGAAAAAAAGAACCAATATACATGCACCAGCATGGACCCAACCAACCATGTATTCATTCCTTAAGGCGAGAAGCTCCTTCTCCATGAACTCTTCAGTTGGCATAACCCCATCCATTAGGCTCTCTAATCGAGAGATTTTGTCCTCATGAGCCTGCTCGATTATTTCTATGCACCCACGCTCATGCTTGTATTGTTGGATCTGATAACATGAACATACAACATGAAAAGTGATTACCATCTTCACAATAAAAATGAAAGTTTTCAGGATGGCACCTACCAATCTATTGAGATGCATAATCTCAGCTGCTTGCTTAGAACAGCGATCTTCAAGAGCCATTTCCCGCCGGATGGCACCAGCAAGGACTTTCTCCATCGCCTGAACCAACAAACCCTCTTAAAATTTACAAATTCAATTAACTAGACGAGCATAAAATATGAAAAAAGTCATTCTCCAAATTGATTTAATAATACATACCTTAGGCACTTGTTTCTTGCCTCGTTCAGTTGGTCGTGGCTTCTTGGATGATTGGGAACCATCAATGAGTGCTATTTGTAATCCTGATTTCTCGGTGACATCATTGTTTTCAAGAGGCAGAGCTTTTCCCCTGCAGTTATCACATAGAAGCACTGAAGCATCGTCAGCCCAGTGTGGTTCTTCATCAGACAACGTTTGTGTGCCAATATCAACCTTGTCCATGATAATTAGCGGCTTCATATCAACAGGTTTGGATGAAAACCTGAACGACGAACTGCTTAGAGATGAATTATGCTTCTGGCCACTGATCACCTGAAGACCTTGACAAAGACTTACTGCCAGGTTTTCAGTTGCTGCAAGCGAATCCTTGCTTGAATGAAAGAAAGAAATACTACTCTTACCCTCATTCAAGAAGCCAGAAAATGAAACATTCAATATGCCTGAATCAGGTTTGAAATCTGATTTTATGCTTTTATGAGAAGCTGATGTTGATGATGATGTCCTGGCACTTTTCCTACTGTAATTTGTATTTCTAGGTGAGACACTAAAAGTGGGAGAGCCGGACAAGTTTTGAGATGGGTCCAGAAACGTTTCATTAGAAGGAACTCTAAAAATTAAAGAGGATCCCTCAGTTATTTCATTATGATCTCCAGCCAAAGATTTTCTCTTAGCAGGAATCATTTGTGGTTCATCTTCATCCTTAATTTGCTCGTTCATGCAAAGAACGGGTGTGGGGAAAGCCAATTCTTTTATTTCTTCATGATCCTCACTGCAATGCCTACACTCACTATCTTGGTGACACTCAGAGCCAGGACCAGGTATTTTTTTGAAGCATACATCACCTGATGAAGTTTCCTTATCTAAATAACAGGGATTTTGCTCATTAAAACTTTCAAATTTAGTTAGTTCCTCCTTGACAATTAAAGAGGATCCCTCGGTTATTTCATCATGATCTCCAGCCAAAGATTTTCTCTTAGCAGGAATCATTTTTGGTTCATCTTCATCCTTAATTTGCTCGTTCGTGCAAAGAGCAGGTGTGGGGAAAGCCATATCTTTTATTTCTTCATGATCCTCATTGCAATGCCTACACTCACTATCTTGGTGACACTCAGAGCCAGGACCAGGTATTTTCTTGAAGCATTCATCCTTAATTTGCTCGTTCATGCAAAGAGCGGGTGTGGGGAAAGCCAATTCTTTTATTTCTTCATGATCCTCATTGCAATGCCTACACTCACTATCTTGGTGACACTCAGAGCCAGGACCAGGTATTTTCTTGAAGCATGCATCACCTGATGATGTTTCCTTATCTAAATAACAGGGATTTTGTTCATTAAAACTCTCAAATTTAGTTAGTTCCTCCTTCACATTACTATTATCCCCATCGACAGTAGGCGAATTAGCCTCTGTGCCAGAGTTCTCAACACCTTCCTCAACAATTTCCATTTCTTCATCACTGTCATCTTCAACGGGCAATGTTCTTGGACGGCATAGACTAAATCTTAAAAGGCTCAAACTTCGACGGACATTCCATCCACTAGAACAACTTCCATTATTTTCTTCAGACTTACCATTTGACTTCATTCTAAGAAGTTCATCCTGCACAGGGGAAAGAAAAGCCCGTCATATCTGAGTAATAAATATGACTTCACAATTGTTACCTTAGAAAGGATAACTACTTTCAGCTGTTGTATCTGCTCTCGCAGGACATTAGCATCATCCTCTGTTGTTTCGTTTACAGTTGCCTTATTCCTTATTTCCTTAGCTCGTTGAGCAAATCTCAGGGTACTTAAAGTTTCGCTCTTGCAACTGCATTGAATCAGAAACTTTAAAATTAAAAAAACAAAAAAAAAAAGAAAGAAGATCAAAAAATAGAAGGGATGTTTCTTGCTCAATTGATTTGAGTTGACCTGTTGGATGGTGAAACATTACATATCATAGCAAGTTTTGCATTTCCACCTAGAGATTCCTGCAATAAAAATGTCAGCCTAGAATCTCTGTAGGGTATATGACGATGTTTCCCAGATTGTGAGACTTCAGCCAGAATGTTAATCAAGTTCCTGCAAGATGATTCAGAATCTGATTAGGAAATGAGGATGCAACAAGATTAAAAACAAAATCACAAGAGATAATTGTATGTCTGCCAAAGGACTACTGGGTAAAAGCCTTTCCTATGTGAAATAATGCAGTTTGGAGATTTAGGCAAAAGTAGGGCATATGGCATTCCATGCCATGCAAGCTCATACAAAGAAGACAATTAAAAAAAAAATGAAAAGATCCTACATACGAGTCGACTAATAAAAAGTTAGAAAAATGCATCCAGTCCTTAGCACAAATAGCTAGTGAATACAACAAAAAATGAGAGCTGCAAGTACAAAAATTAAATTATCAACATACCCGAGTTGGGAGAGGGAACGATTGATACTGCCAGCTTCTTTTAAGCGCTCACCTGCAGCACCAGTAGCCTTTTGTCTTTCAGATCCAGCTAGGTCGACAAGGTTGATTCTACTGGTTCTTAAGCTAATAAGACCATTAGTCATGTTCTGAGAGATTCAAAACCAAATACACATCAGGATGTTGATATTGAGGCTTACAAGCCAGGACACTTAACTAACCTTCCCCCACCCATAATGCTACAAAAAAGTTACAGATGAAGCAATTGAAGGAGGAAATAAATTTAGTGCCTCTTTCAATGTTTGTTCAAGAGTTCATAAAAAAGGCAGATACAAGTTTAGAAAATCATTATTTGCATGGTTTAAAAGACGAAAGTATGTATTTTCAGCTTTCATGCAAAACTGAAGATTAACGGATGAGCTAACTAATCTCTAAGCACATTTTAGTAATTCATCAAACAAATTTACAGAGTTAAAACCAGGAGGGTCTAAATTGGGTTGTTTAAAACAACCAAAGATTTTTTTTTTCTTTTGCAGTTTGCCTAAAATACATCTTTCTTAGGTACTCCACTATATCTGTCCATCCCAATCAGTGGACCTCCTTAGGAACAATTGCTTTTTTCTACTCCCCAAGCAACAAATCACCAAATTCTACTCCCAAAACACCTCTTCCTGAAAAATGAAAAGCATTTGAAAAAGTGAAAGGTTGTTCAAAATAACTTTTATTTTACTGTTTTCAGTTCATTATTTTTATAATACAATGAATTGTGTCGGAATTCTTAAATAGAGGCTCAAATATTAGGAAAAAAAATTAAGCATCCATTACATTCATAATCTCTAGGGAGCCGTTAGAGCAAAAAATTAGTCTTATTGTCCAAATATAACAGGAGCGTCTAAACATTATAGTTAAAAATATAGACATAAATGTTCATTGAATCATGCAAACATAAGTGGTTTCCTTGAAATCAGTATGTTCAACAGCAATTTAGACATTTAAATACATAGGAATTTCACCCAAAAAAATTCATGACTCATCTAACTCTTAAAAGTTAAAATGGTGTGAATAAGCCCCCAATGTAGCTTAAGACATGAGAGAACAAGTGACGGAGAGATAACAAATGAACGGGATAGTCTGCATGCACACAAATGTTATCTAAAATAAATAAATGATACACAGCAAAAATGATCATACTTAAATAATATTATAATAAATAAAGAGTATAGCAATAAAAATAGAATGCTAATATACATAACATTTAAAAAATAAAAACAAGAAATAATAGGGGTGAATTTGTCTTGTGGCGGCATTAATCAAATAGTGATTAGTTGGCCAGAAATACAATTTTAACAAAATAATATTATTATTACATAAAACTACTCCTCATTCCTTTTTTTTTTCTTCTTTTAGCCTAGCACACGAGCGCCATTGCTTCCCTATCTCTTGCTAAGTCTCTCCCCTCTCTCTCTCTCTCTTGCTACCTTTGTAAAAATTTACTAATAAAAAATTTGTAGATCCCGATCATGATGACTTAATTGATGATTCATCTTTACATGTTAATTCCCAATGCTTGATTTTCAAAGCTAACATTATGATCCGAAAATTCTTTTAGCAAGATCCTCATAAATCATGGCCAATTTTTAATCACCAATCATTGTAATTTTTGAAAGGAAAAGGAAAGTTTATGGTTCAAATCCTTGGATTGTAGAATATAGAACATGGTGTTATTTGGCTACTATAGACCCAAAAAGATTGATAATGGAGTAATCATTGAAAAATCATTTCAACAATGTACTAGAATGATGATTGACTTAACTTAAAATTCTCTCAATTATGCTTTTATCGTGTTTTCAAGCTAAATGATATAATCCTTGTGCCTATTCACTCAATTCTTAAACTCATTGACACGTTGTTGGTAGGATTTATATTAATCAAAAAATTATTAACAATAGTTTGAGAAGACTACCTACCCAAAGCGATTGATCAAAAGACACCTCGCTAAAGAGGCCACGCAAAATACACATAAACTTGATCCACTATTGAATTCTCTTATAGATTATGAACATACTATATTAAGAGAAAAAAAGGAAAAAGTTTCAGAAAAAAAATAAAATAAAAATAAATCAAGCATGTTATTTAAAAACTTTGGAAGCTTTCTCTTGGAACTTTGATCTTTACAATTGTACATTCATATACTTAAACTTTAATTGTGATATATTCTTGGCATTATTTTGAGAGTGCTATAGCCACTCATTCTGCCAATCTTAGTGTGATTCTCACTACATTCATCTTTCCTATAAAATTGGGGTTTTTTTTATTAACTCAGTCATGAACTCACCGAGTTCATCAGATGAATCAAAGTGTTGCCCTTACTAAAATCAAGGAGAAAAGATAGCTCCTAATGAAATAATATAAAGGAAATTTACATACATACCAGTTAATGTAAAAAGTGACGTTTAGGTGTTATATATGTAAATACATAGGAATTGGGTAGCATGTATATAAATGCACCTAAAATAAAATATGAAATAGAGAAAGTTATTTTGAATCTTTGGACAGTTTTCCCGGAGATTTTTCATGTTTCATTCCATACTCTTTAGCTTTGATCTTGATATCTTCTTGGTCTCGTCCTTGAGAATTTTATGATAAAAAAACCTTTTATAACAATCTTAGTGTGATTCTCAATATGTTCTTCTTACTATTAAGTTAGGACCTTTTATTATGTCTATTTAGTGTTCTCGCCAAGACATTGTAAAGAATCAAAGAGTCCGTTCACATAGACACAAAAGACTATTGAAAATAAGTATTGTATGAGGCTTCTCTTTTAGCTAATGTAAGAAAGTAGATTAGTGATTTTCATAAGACCGGCATTTGGGATGTAGATGTAGGTAATTAGTGTCAAACTTAATTAAAATTTTAATTTAAATTGTATATGTTATTGTTTTCCTCAACTTATATTTCATAATCTTGTTGGTGAGTGCTTGAGAGTTTACGCTTCATAATTGGTTGTAATCATTGTCTATTATTCACATTTGAGTGAATAAATCTTTTTGGTGAGTGCAATCTCCTATTACATAGATTTGCATTATTTTTTGTATAATCTCTAAAATACTGGTGCGCTTCTACTTAATAGATTTAGAGCTTGGAATGGTATTTTTTACCTCAATTCAAGTGGTGTGCCATAAACCCTATATAGATAACATAAGGAATCAAAATTAAAAATGACCATTGATAAGTCAAGTCAAGAAAAGTGAAATAAACAGTCATATCATTTATTTTTAATAAGCAATCACTTAATGCAAGGCCTCTTTTACCCCAAAACATTCAAGCGGTTGTGCAAATAATAAAATTGTAAAAGCTTGATGTGCTATTAGGAATGTAACAAGGAAAACTTTATATTTCAACTATAAGAATAATATACACAGATAAGAAAAAGATTTACCTTAGACCGACAATCAACAATACAAGTGAAAACGCAATGTGAACGTGAACTCTCTATATTAATGCTTGTTGCCCCTATCCTTCTATTTGCCAATCCCTGCAAAAAATAAAAAAATAATAAAAAAAAAGAGTAAAAATACATTATATTACATGTATGGCTTCCATTTTAGCTAAACACACATTAAAAACTCATGCATATTTATGGGGAACATATATTAATTAACGGATAAGAACTAATACATAAGAATATCACTATGTGGATTACCATAAATTTTCAAAATAATATAGCCATTATCAAGCACATAAAAAACCTAAATAAAAATTGTGAAACTAAAATTAATGATTCCAATATTTCATCATAGGAGTGTTATAATTAACTGGAAAGTTTAAGCAATTTATCCTATATGTGGAAGTTTAGAACATAGCAGCAAACTAGAATGCGAAAAAAGCTAGATAATATAGAGGTCAAGAAAGGTCATGTCGATCAATCACAGCATAGAAACACCTTCTCATATAATCAAGAGCAAATACCCCACATTCGAAAGGAGATTTCCATAAAAAGTCAAATACCCAACAAGAAATAATGAAATCTTGGATAGAACAAGCTATTTCAACGTCTTGATTCAAAGTAATGTTCCAGCATAGTCTCTAGCACAAACCAATTTAAAGTATAACAGGAGGCTTGACTGTTGATAATTGATCACCATTATCATCATCAAGCATGGGTACGAAACCCAGATCTTCTCAATTATAATCCTCAGTGACTGAGGGTCTGTTTGGCGCAGCTGTGGATTATTTATAATCTGCTGATAAGCAGATTATTCTGATAATCTGATAATCTGCAGATTATCAGAATAATCTGGCTTGCTGTTTGGGGCAGCTTATTCAGACCAACTTATTGGTGGTTAAATGACATTCATGCCCCTGTTTGAATCAAAACTGTTTGGGGCAGCTTATTCAGAATAGCTTATTGTTGGAAAAGAAACATATAGTGCAGAAACATACGATAATCACAGATCAGTTCTAAAAGATACCATACAGTTCTCACACCTTAATGAGTACCAGGATAACTAAAAAAAGTACAAATACAAGTACAACAACAAGGAGAAATATTAAAATATTCAACTTAAGACTCTGGCTACGCCTGTCCTCATCTGCACTGTCAGCCGGAAAAAACATCGGATTCACATGACTGCTGGCATGACTACTGTCAGTGTAATATGATGGACTATCGGCCCACCTGAAGAAACCACAACGGGCTGAAACACCCCTGGCACAACCATAGAACTGCCTCCCAAAGCTATGCTCCTTACGTGACGTTAGCAACGGAGACGGTAGTCCACAATAACACAAAATCCCTCTGTCTGTACTTGATATTCTGGAGGTCATGTTGGTATAACTGTGAAAATAACAAAAGAATGAAATGTCAGCTTAAGGTATTTAAAAAAAAAAACATAATTAAATGGGTATGAATATAAACCTAAAATCTTATGAAAAGAAAACTTGGTTGATCAATAGCCACAAATAGCATCTGTGATAGACTCCCTTAAAGCAATCATATCAGCCAAACTATCAGCATCTTGATCTTCAAAATCATTAGATTCTATGTCCTCCTCAGGTAATGAATGCCCCCCCACATGTCCTGTTGGTTGCTCTAAAATATTGAGTTCATCATTGTCAGCCATACTGAAGTCTGTATCTGATTGCGAGGAATGTCTTCGGATGAAGTTATGTAGTGCCATTGTTGCAACCACAATGTACACCTGCTTTTGGAAAGGATACGACGGCATATCACGTAAGATGACCCACTTCTTCTTCCAAACTCCAAATGTTCTTTCAATTACCCCGCGTAAAGATGAGTGGCGTTTATTAAACATTTCCTTTCTGCCACGAACCGTGCCACTAGCTCGCTCAAAATCAGGAAGATGATATCTCGTGTCCGAGTAGGGCTTCAGGTATCCCCGTTGCATAGGATATCCTGCATCAACCAGATAATATTTTCCTGGTACGAGAAACAATGTTAATAAAAAATTGCA